TCAGCTGGGGGCTCACAGGCCGGTCTCCCCCCTCCCCTGGCGGTTGGAGGCTAGCGGTGCTGGTCCAGTGTGCACCCCTCCACAGTGGCTGCTAGGTGTACGTTAAGTGGGCTCCTCGCCTGCTCTCCGGCCGCCTGTGCGTGCCCAGTCCCAGGCAGAGGCCCCGTGGGCAGAGGCCGCGGAGTGCCCTGCAGGAGCCCTTGCACAACCTCTGCTCGAGGCTCCGGCGGGCGCTGATGAAACGGCGTCGGTTTGGAAGGTGTCGTAACCCTCCGAGGGCGGGCGGAAGGACGCCCCTAACGCGTGAATTCTGGCTGGAGAGACCCCGCGTGCCCTGATGGGTGTGAGCGGCCTCTCCCGGGTCCTTCTCGGGTCCCAGCCCCGCCTGCAGGGAGAGGGGCCTGCAGGGCCTGGGCCGACGGACGCCTGCACCTGCCTCCTCGCTGACCCTCCCTGGGCCGGTCATGGCAGTGCCTGGACGGGGCCCCGGCGAGGCTCTGGAAACGCGTGTCCCCGGTCACGGTCCCGTGGGTTTAGCTGTGTCCGCTTTCCCGCTCCTGCCCAGTGCAGCCCCTCCCGCGCGGGGACAGGGACGTGCCTTTGTGAGTGTGGATGGAATAGATTAGAGACCAGGCTCAGGGTCTTGTGTTCCAGTCCCGCCCCTGCCACCCGCTCACGGTGCCTCTGGGCAAGTCCCTTCCGCTCCCAGGGCTCCGTCCCGCCGTGCGGAGGGTCAGGGACGCGGGACGTTCAGCTGGTCACGGGGTGTTGACGCTCCCCGTGTGCCGGGCTCCGGGCTGGTCACGTGACCCTCTCCTCTCCCCCCAGATGGAGTCTGCCTGCGTGACCATCCACGAGGCCCTGCGGACCGTGATCGACTCCCAGACGCACTACCGGCTCCGGGAGGCCCAGGACCGGGCCCGGGCCGAGGACCTCCACAGCCGGGTCTCGTACTGGTCTCTGGGCGAGACCATCGCCCTGTGCGTGGTGGGCGTCAGCCAGGTGCTGCTGCTCAAGAGCTTCTTCACCGAGAAGCAGCCCGGCAGGGCGGCCCCCTCCCTGTTTTTTATTGGATTTGACCCTCTGCTTCATCTGACCCAGCTGTCGCCAACCTTTCGGACCTCACGGACCACCGGTTGGCGACCGCTGATCTGTCAGTTCCCTCTGCGTATGTTTTTATTTTTATTGATTCCAGAGAGGAAGGGAGAGGGAGAGAGAGAAACATCAATGATGAGAGAATCACTGATCGGCTCCTCCTGCACGCCCCCTCTCCCCTCCACTGGGGATGGAGCCCGCAACCCAGTAGGGGGCAGGGCCGGGCAGGCAGTGCTTTGACATCCCGGGGCGTCAAACAAAGCTCATGTCCGCACTGACGAAGGAGGGAGAAGTGGGCTGATGGCCACAGCGAGCAGAGACCAGTCACCGCACTTCTCTCTGGACCACCTTGAGCCTGAGGACGAAACGGACAGAGACGGACAGGCCCGTCCGCCCAGCACAGTCAGACGCTGAGCTGCTGAGCGGGGCCGCGGGCCTTCCTGCCTGAAGCGAGACGACCTCTTAGGAGCTGCCGGGTACAGGCCCTGGCACACGGACACGCCTGCAGCCCTGGCACACGGACACGCCTGCAGCCCTGGCACACGGACACGCCTGCAGCCCTGGCACACGGACACGCCTGCAGCCCTGGCACACGGACACGCCTGCAGCCCTGGCACACGGACACGCCTGCAGCCCTGGCACACGGACACGCCTGCAGCCCTGGCACACGGACACGCCTGCAGCCCTGGCACACGGACACGCCTGCAGCCCTGGCACACGGACACGCCTGCAGCCCTGGCACACGGACACGCCTGCAGCCCTGGCACACGGACACGCCTGCAGCCCTGGCACACGGACACGCCTGCAGCCCTGGCACACGGACACGCCTGCAGCCCTGGCACACGGACACGCCTGCAGCCCTGGCACACGGACACGCCTGCAGCCCTGGCACACGGACACGCCTGCAGCCCTGGCACACGGACACGCCTGCAGCCCTGGCACACGGACACGCCTGCAGCCCTGGCACACGGACACGCCTGCAGCCCTGGCACACGGACACGCCTGCAGCCCTGGCACACGGACACGCCTGCAGCCCTGGCACACGGACACGCCTGCAGCCCTGGCACACGGACACGCCTGCAGAGCATCGCCCACCCTCACACACTGGGAGGGAGGGAGGGAGGGAGAGCACGTCGGGGAGTCTCAGGAGACTCTCAGGAATAGTGACTGATTTGACATTTTTGGGGGGATGAAGAGGGGAACCCCCCCCCCCCCGTTATAAAAATCCGCACACAGGCCAGTCGCCCAGGCCCCGGCCTCACTTTACCCCACGGAACCATCCGACCTGCACAGCCCCAGCAGGTGCTGGGTCAGCCTTACCCGGTCGCCCCAGGGGCGGGGTGTGAACTGTCAGGGCCGCAGCCGTCACAGCCCTGACAGGCAGCAGGGAGGGTCTGGGGGTGCGGGGCGCCTGTTTTACCGGGTGGGGAACCAGGTCCTGTGCCCATCCCGACTGCTCTCTGCACGTCTGGGACCACAGCTGGTGGACCTAGGAGTTCATTCCCTCCCCACGCCCTGTGCCTGGCATCCCTGCAGCCGCCTCCCTGTA